TACTGGATCCACAGTGCTCAGTGAAGCCTTCTGTAACATAGGGTTCTCACACACATGATATCCATTTGCAAGAGTTTTGTTAACATAAATATCAAGGTCAAAATATTCTGGGTAATATCAAGTTCAAACATAAGTAAATCTCAGGGTATTTCCAATCCAAAACAATCCTAAAGCGAGGTCAAAAACAAGGCAGGGCAAACCAAGCTCATACACACACTTGCCATATTCATAGTGCATGTTTTAATTAGTATAGATGGTATCAATAATTCAATTATGATTAGTCATATATCACCTTTAACAATGAATTCCTGTCTCACTTTTACACAATTTAATTTTTACTACTGAAAGTGAATTTTCAGATATTTGCAATTCAATTTTTACTCATGAACAAATGAGTTCGAAATGCAGATATGTACATATGGTCCATAATTCAGTCAAGTTATTATCAATGCAAATTTTACTAATTGCAAATCACATTCAAGATGTGTACAGTGCTGTGAAAAATATTCGCTCCCTTCTTGATGCCCACATTGGCCCTTTACAGGCAAGTCATGGGCAGTGTGGGCAACGGCTAACCCATACAAATATGGCCCAAAGTGGGGTTTCTGTAGGTAGCCCACACATATCCCATGTAGGACCATTGTGGACTAACCCACTTAAGGCCAATACCTATTTCACACACACTGGCTCAATACAGGTTTTCTGTGGGTAGCTCACAATTTGATATGCCCACACAAATCCCATGTGAGACCAGTGCAGCCTAACTCACATTGGGGCAATAACATTTTTACCCACATTTCCCAATGTGGGTTTTCTGTGGGCAGCCCATACTTTCTATTATATGATTCACTTGATGTAGAAGAATATGCAGCCTCCCACACAAAATTCTCAACATTATTGTAGAAAATGCATGTGAATGACAGGAGTTTTAGACCAATTAAAACATAGCCTAGGAGGTGGTGGATTAGGCTTGGCCCTGCCCCCAGCATTTCTTTTTTTTCACAAATTTCCAACAAAACCAAAGAGTTCAATTTGCCAGTAAGGGCGGTATCATGAGTACCTCCTCTTGAGCACAGCTTCTCTTGAATTAAAAAAAGTTGGCAACCTAGGCACAATCATGTGCAGTTTTCTAATAGGTTCTAATAGAGTTCTAATAGGCATACACATACCCAAAAATGGACCATGTAACTCTTAACATATTGAATTTCATTTTTATTTTTTATGTTCTAAAATATGGGTGATGGTGGGATCCCCTTCAGAAGAACTTATTCCAAAAAAAAACGTACATTGAGAATATGTTCATAACAGATATGTAATTTGTAATGTCTGTTTATAAATATTTGTTTCAATAAATGTCTTTAAATGAACAAAAATACATAAGTATGTACTGCTTTTATATAGTACATACTTATGCATTTTTGTTCATTTAAAAACATTTGTTGATTATTTCTCAAATATTTATATAATACTAATTATTTATCTATTTATATATTATTAGTGTAGTCTAGGTTCAATACAAGATATTTCTTATTTTAATGACAATCAGCTGTTTGATACATTTGGTAATGTATTTTGTTTATTTGGTAAGTATACCTGTTAAGCCCACACAATCTGTTTTCAGATTTTTTATATATATTTGTTTGATTTTTAGCGGATATATACAGTTTTAATTAATTCACACAAATTTTTAAAATGTAAAATATATATTTTTTAAAACTATGTTTTTTTCCAAAAATACTTTAACAAATACCTGACCCCCATTCCCTAGTAAATCAAACAGTGAAAACATTAGTAAGGAAGAGATTTGATCTTGTACCAAATTAAACCGGTAATAGAGTTTGTCTTGTATCATTTTTAACTTCATTCATTTAGGTTAGTTCACAGTTTTCTTGGGGGGGGGTTGCATAGTCTTTCATGCAGATAAAAAAATAAGTTCTGTACTTGCAGAAAATGAACCTTCTTTTCTCATCTTCTACCATTTTTGTCAAAGATTTTATGAAAAATCTGTCACGTGACGGAGTCGGCGATGGATGCAAATGCAAGTTAGTTTTTTATTAAAAAGATATTGGCAAACAATTCCAAAACATCTAGCAAAACCATAAACCAGAACAGGCAGAAAGTGATACGATCAGCAAACAGTACAACATAGGCAAATTCAAAATCTAAGCAACAAGGCAAGATCAAAAACCAGAATAGCAAGATAAAATTGCAAGGCTTGGTAAGTCAGGTCAAGGCACACTGAGTGTTACTTCGCAACTGGTTGAGTGTCTAAAGTCTGTTTTTAAAGGGTGTGAGTGTTATAAAACGCTTTTCGTGAATCTCCTCACCGACAAGGTGCTTAAGTGAGCTACAGCAATGTGGGAGCAAGAGGGCGATCCTACCATGTCCTGTCGTACCACTTCCTACCACTCACTGAACTGTTTCGCCACATTTTCAACCATTCGCCATAAGGGAAGGAGGTAGGACAGAGGCTACTGTCCATAACCCAAGGTTCCCGTCACATGGCTGAGTATGCCCTTGAATACTGCACCATTGCAGCAGGTAGCAGGTGGGATGATGCAGCTCTGAAATCCACGTTCTGTCAGGGATTGAACCAGGAAGTACTCACCGAGATGGCTTGTCACGACGAACCTCTATCCCTTGACTCTCTGACGGACCTTGCTATATGCCTGGATCATCTGCTGCACAGCCAGCGGCCCCGTCTGGAAATGGGAGTTTCTCCACAAGTGGACTTACTTCCAGAGCCCATGCAACTAGGGTTTTGAGCTTTGAGCTGGTGGTTATGAGGTGCGAGATGCCTTTATCTATCATATGCTGTTCAAACATCTCTGTGTGTCTGTCTATCTATGTGTTTATTTTTGTTTGTTTATTTATTTATTTGTTCAATCTATATAGTGCTGTACTTAAGGCATGAGTTTTTGTTTTTTTATTTTGCAGCATACAGATGTTTGGATAATTGAACCAACCAATCTTTAGGTTTCTCTGGGTTTATTGTTTTGTTATTGTATGCACTTACCATTTACAGTCTTCTTTTCTTAGCAGACAGTGTAAAGGAAAAACTAGCCGATAGGAAAGTCCCTGTTTACTGTGTGCATGGCCAGGAAAATTTTTACTGTGGTCTTGCTCTTGACAGACCCTCTGAGGATCTGTATGCCCTGCTTTGGTACTACACCTGTTCCAGTGCCATGATTGAAGCCTCTGCTTCCAGACTCCAAGAATTACAAGTGGCCGGAATGCCTGTACTGGAATGAGCTGCTTTAGCGCCAGTTCCTCATGTAGAGACCATAAAAGGCCGAAAGAGAAAATTTCACAGAAAGGGAGGGTAGCAAGGAAGAAGTGGTTTAGAGCTAGTCATCGAAGAACAGGCACTTCCACAATGTTTTCTCATGTATAGAGAAAAATGACAGTTAGAACTGCAAACCCAACAAGGTCAGAACAAAAGGGTAAAATATGTGAAATGTCATGTGGCTCTCAAAAGGTCAACAAGGTCAAGTCCCGAACTTCTTTTCTTTTCGTAGGGTTACTTGCAAATTTTAATAGACATGTAATCCCTCTGAATTGTATTATAATTTTACTGTTTAATGTTTCGTCCAGTGTTTATTTATTATTAGCGTTTATTACTTTGCTCTGCAGGATTCCACTGAAAATAAGAACAGTCGTAGTAATATTTCTCTGTTTAAAAATAAATCAATTAAATGCAACAATAAAATAACTGCATGGAAACAGACAATAATATTCCAGAAGCTCATATATTTATTCATTATTATTCAGTAGTAAACAACAGGCATTGTAGTGGAATAATAGTATTTTACTGCTGAAACAATAGCTCCCCCTAAAGGCACATTTCTGCAAATAACTTTTTTATATTTCTAGATTTTATTTTTGGCTATTTGGAAAATATTTAAATTCACTAAGTACCAGGATTTGTTTCAAATAAGTTACAGAACATAATGAATATATTCACAAGACAAAAAACATTTTACAAATATCAGAAACCACATTACTGGTAGAGTGAACTTTAAATTATGCCACTATTATTAAGGAATAGTTTGGCCAAAAATAAAATGTACCCAATTTGGACATGCAGCTCCGAAACTAAACTTAAGAAGCAACCTTCACACAACAAAGGTGTTATGACTTCATTTGGAATACAACAATATAATGTGTATGTGCACTCACTGGCTATGTTATTAGTAACACCTGTACACTTGCTCAATCATGCAGACTCAAGTCAAGAGCTTCAGTTAATGTTCATATCAAACCTGGGAAATCTCACTGACTTTGACTGTGGCTTGGTTGTTGGTGCTAGACAGGCTGGTTTGAGAATTTCAGAAACTGCTCAGCTCCTGGGATATTGACTCACAACAGTCTCTAGAGTTTATACAGAATGGTGGAGGAAAAAAAAAAAAAAAAAAAAAAAAAAAAAACTGGTCGAGCTGATGGCTGTGGTAACTCAAATAACCACTCTTTACAACCATGGTGTGCAGAAAAGTAGCTAAGAACTCACAACACATTGAACCTTGGGCTACAACAGCAGAAGACCACATCAGGCTCTATTTCTACAGTGGCTACAGTGGGCACAGGATCACTGAAATTGGACAGATGATTTTACTAGTTAAAAAATTAAGGAATTTGTATATATATATGTATATGTGTGTGTGTGTGTGTGTGTGTGTATCACTCATTTATATATATATAATGTATATATAAATTGCCTATGTCTATCTCTATGTATGTATTTCTACGTATATATACAGAGGGGTGAAAAATTAAAGGAAAAACTAGCCCCTCTGTTATGCAGTAGTATGCTGGCATGGTTTTACTCCATTTGTTCCCTTGGAGCAGAGGTAGTTAAATTGTGGGACATGCCCCCTATTGGGGTGCAAAGGAATTTACATTTATGGCATTTGGCAGATGCCCTTATCCAGGGTGACTTACATTTATCTCATTTACACAATTGAGGGTTAAGGGCCTTGCTTAGAGGCCCAGCAGCACCATCTTGGTGCGGGGAATTGAACTCTTGATTTTCCGATTAGTAGTCCAACGTCTTGACCACTGGGCTACCACTGCCCTTGCAGTTGCAATTGCAGGTGGGGTGAAAGTGAGATGGAAAATGCCAAAAAAAGAAAAATTTAAATGACCATTTCAGACTTGCCTAAACCTTTTAACATCGGAACACAAAATTATGCTGAGAGAGCAGTCTTCTTTTTTCCACATGGAAAACAGCAGATGAGCCAATCATATGAATCCAGAATAACTGGCAGTTGCGCAGATGTTTAAAAATTTTCTCTTCTTAAAACATGCTCTGATGTAATACCCTCCCTTTCTCTCAAGGTCAATGGTAGAAGGTAGAATGTTTTCAGTTCATTAATGTGATATCAAATTTATCAAAAATTAATCTGTCCAACTGATCACCTTTAATCCTATGGTTAAACATTTCTATTCTGCTGGGAGTGGTCTCTTCCAGGATCCAAAGGGCACATGGGCTAACTGAGAAAAAAATGTGCACAATGGTTTAATGAGTATAAAAATGTAAATTATATGCTATGGCTTTCACAGTCACCAGCTCTAAACTCATCTAAATTCAATGGGAGATTCTGGAGTGATTTGTTAGACACTGTTTGCTGCCACCATCATCATAACTAAGTAAATATATTTTGTAAGAATGGTGCTTCTCTCTCCAGTACAGTTCTAGAGTAAAATCTATACAAGGGCATGCTGAAACTGTTCTAGGCACTTTACTATGTACACCACAGTAAGATCTGAAAGCCACATTAAATTTGAAAGTTAAAGTAAATTGTTATCAGTGCTGTCTTTTCTTCATAGGTCAGACTTGCTTATGATGCAGTCATTAGTATCCTTTTAATCTGCCGCCACTTGTCCTGCAGTGCTTCTTTAAAGCTGTCTGTCATGAGGAAGTAAAACACAGGGTTGATGGCACTGTGAGCAAATCCAATTGGCCGTGTCACTATGTAAGCTGCATTGATGTAGTCTATGATACACCGTGAAAAATTAAGTTCAGGAAGCCGAGATGCGAGACGCACATTCCTCATTATATGGATGGGTGTGTAGAGCACCAGAAACATTATTGCTGCAGACCTCACGATTCTTACTGGCCTTTGGAAGGATTTCCCACGCATCTCCTCTCTTTTCATGAGTACAGAAACCATCCTCTGTGATGATAGAAACAAACCCACCAGTGGCAGCACATATCCAGTTATGGTGAGCATTACGCTGTAAATCAGAGTAACTTTGGCCACTCCCAGGCTCGCAAAATCACGACACACTGTCCAGCGATTTTCCTCCAAGTCTTGAATAATGAAGACAATGAGGGGAGCGATTTGAGCATTCACCCAGATCCAGTTTAGGATGGTGATGCATAATGCAGCCTTGAGAGTCAACAGGATGTGTTCTCGCTGTGGGTGACAAATCAACAAGAACCGGTCCACACTTACCCACATCATGAAAAGGATGCTAGAGTACAAGTTCACATGGAGAATGTAGCGATTAATCATGCATAGTGCAGAATTGAATCTCTTCAGGTTGTGAGCGTAGTTGTAGGACAGCTCGGGTAAAGTGCACAGGAAGATGAGGTCAGAGACAGACAGGTTAAACAGGTACACATTTGTTGACTTCCAAGCAGGAAGGCAAAAGATATAGCCTAGGACCACCACTAGGTTTCCGATGAAGCCAAAGGTAAATTCCAGAGCATACATTGGCGAGAGGTAATCTCTCTCTAATAGTGGAGTGATGAACCTGGAACAGTTGTCCTGCAGCCACAAAGATTATTGTACATATAATTACTGCACATAAATGGCTCTATTTTCATGCCAATGCAAGCATATTATGCTGGTTAATGCTGGCGTATTGTTTTTTGGTCGGGCACACACCAATATATTCACCCTTGAGGTCTGTTGCTATTTTTGTGGTCATGAATTAAGGCGTTGTGCAAATGTGTGCGGAACTGTGCAAATGGATTTTTGTGAATCCATTTATTTCTGTAAAGCTGCTTTGTGACAATGTCCATTGTTAAAAGCACTATACAAATAAAACTGAATTGAATTGAATTGAAAGGGGTTGTGCATTTTTATATATCATATAGTCATAATATATCATAATAGTCTATATCATCCAAATACTAACTAAATACAACACACTTAGTCACACACTAAGTTTTCTTTTAACCAGCATTTAAATCCAGCCCAGCTGAGATGTGCCATAAAGGCATACACTTCACAG